TCAACGATGAACTTCACCAATTTACCCTGCTCGACCCCGGAAACGGATGTCGAGTTCAAGGTTTCTACGTTTTGTACCGTTCAAGAACATCGTTCAGTGTTACCATTTCGGAGGACCAATAATTACGACAAACTAGTCCGTTACACAGCGCTCGTTCTGAAGTTCTTCGGAAGCAAGTTTACGAACGAGCTTCACCGCGAAGTCGAGCCCTGCTCGACCAAGCATTCCCCTTCGTGGAAACCACTACTACATCTTCGTCCGCTACTACGTCTCAATGTGATGGAGAAAAATGTCAGAGCAGCGGAGCTTCTACTCTTTCGCGAACATCAGCGAGAGAGCGAAAGCGAGTTGCGCTTACGTCCCACCCAATTCAAGGCGACTTATTACGATTCCAATGGCGTTATTCGAGTGCCACTCGGATGGAAAAACGCCGGAAATAATACGTACGGCCAAAAATCCAATCCTTCTTGCTCCTGATCATCCACTAACTGCTATGATCGTCGCAAGATGCCATCGAGCCCTATTCCATACAGGGATCGAGCACGTCATTAGTGTATTACGTCGAAGATACTTCGTACCGCGCATTCGTAGTACGGTTCGTGCCGTACTTAGTAAATGCATATCGTGTAAGAGACACCAAATGTGTCCTTATCGATATCCTAACCCTCCAGATCTACCTTATGAAAGAGTTACTCAGAGCAGACCCTTTCAGAGAATTGGTCTGGACTACTTTGGGCCAATCTTGGTCCTGATTACTCCGTCGGAAACTCGCAAAGTTTGGGTGTGCTTGTTTACATGCATGACGACCCGAGCTTTACACCTCGAGTTAGTCCATAATAACTCAGCGGTAGAGTTTCTTTTTGCTATTTAAAGATTTATGGCTATTCAAGGAAGTCTTGGCTAACGAATTGTTGAAGTTCCAAGAGGACTCAGCAGTGTGCCAGTTTACTACGCAAAACGCTCTCCGATGGGAATTCATTACCCCCTTCTCTCCATGGAAAGGTGGGTTCTATGAGCGTCTTATTGGAATGGTAAAACGCTGTCTAAGAAAGACAGTTCACCGTAATACGTTAGATATTCGTAATTTCGAAACTCTTCTTATAGAGATCGAAGCAACTCTGAACTCGAGGCCGTTGACAGTAGTCAACACGGAGGCAACCGGTGAGATTTCCACATTAAGACCGATTGATCTCATCAGCCCACATTTCCATCTGGGGCACTTTCTGTCTCCGTTAGGTTCTCGCAGTGAGGAGTTTCAGTACTACGTCCCGAGCGACTCGGAGACGAAACAGTCTCTGAAAGCTCAACACGAACATCTCCTTATTACGTTAGACCATTTTTGGTCTCTGTGGCGAAAGCAGTATCTTCAAGCATTGGCTGAGCGTACGTCGAGCTTAGCTAAGAAAGCTCGGGGTTCACGTTCATTTCCTAAGGTTGGAGATATTGTTCTAATCGTGCAGGATAACGTTCCACGTACATTGTGGCCCCTGGCCATAATTACGAGGATTAATACGTCGCGAGATGGAGCACTCCGATCGGTTCAAGTCAAAACAGGTAAGCAGTCTTTTTCAGATCGCTCTGTCAACCAGCTCATCCCGTTGGAACTCCACGCTCAATCATTCGACGACGCCACGGATATGGATCAGCGCAGGGAATCACGAAGTCCTTCGCTTCCTCCGCCAAGGATTCAACCGCCGCGAGTCGCCAAGAGAGCACGATCGCGATAAGTTCACCTTTATAGTTATGTAGTCAAAACTCTTCATCATTTTTTGCTTTAACGTTTCCAATTGAGTCAGTTCTTAGGTATAGCTTTGATGTCAATTCTGGTTTTCTACATTTTATTCCAGCATTTTTAAACTACTATACTTCTTATAGCTCTATCGCAAATCGTTTCTCTCTATACGTTTTCTCTTCCCTTTGTGTACTTGTCACTCAAAAAGGGGACCTCGGAATCGATGGGCATCTTAGTTCGCTGTTTGTAATCAGCCCACCGTATGCCGGTTGTCGCTGCGGGACTCATATGTTCACTGGGTCTTTTTCGGGTGTTCAACGAAAGGGATTGCCCGGGGAGTTTCCTTCCTTCCGCCAGTGCAAAAAGGGTAGCTGCTTCGCTAAAGGCGACGACCCCGTGATAAAGTCCACAAATCTCTCACCGTTACGTGAAACGGCAAAAGATGACTCAATCTGCAGCCTTTACGACGTATCGTGACAAAGTCAGACATTTGGCGTTGCGAAGCCGAATCGCGAAGCTAATACGTCTAGCCTCACACAGCAGGCAAAACTCCCCACTAGTGCGTGATCAGACTGGACGCAAGTCTCTTCTAGACATACTAGTCGCCCAGTTCTTTGCTCCGCTGAGGCCGATTCTTGCGCCGGTGGGAGGCTGGACCCCCAGGGTCCAGACCTCGAGCGTCGGAGAAGCAGAATGCAGAAGGTCGTGGGACCAGCCGCAATTGGAATGGGGATGTGTCAAGCGCCCAAAGAACTCGACTGGACGATGTCTCCGGGCGCTGGTTATTGGTTGCAGTGCGGCTCTGAGCACGAGGCTCTTCGAGGAAATTGTAATACGCCATAAATTGTAATACGTCGGTATTAATGCGTATCGTAATGCAACATTCGTGGTCGACTGTTTCATGCACGCGTTCACAGACGAGTTATCGCAGGTAAGTTTTGCTTAGTTACCTACGATGGTTGCTCATGTCTGTGATCTATGTCGACCTTCAAAGCACGCCTTCGGGTGTGCACCCCCTTTTCTGTTTTCCAGGTTGAGTGGCAGCAGGTGGCAAGTTGCTGGTCGGGCAAGATCGAGTTGGTCAGTTGGCGAGTGCGATGGTCGGTTCGAGTCGATTGGTCAAGTGCAGTGGTGGTTGCAAGCCGGTTCGAGGATCGAGTTCGACAGCAGTTGGTACACACACGGACGAGAATAGTGACGTTATCGGTCAACGACGACGAGTTATTCCCGGACGCCGTGTGGTTCGATTCGCTTGTGGACTGACTGGTGTGGATGGTGACAGTAAAACGGCGGCGAGTTACAACGACACCTACTTGTGATTTCCTTTTTGAGGTGGCCCTCTATCGTTGTTTTTCGGAGTTGCCCTTACGGCACTCCTAGCTGTGCTTTTCTGTGGAGTGGCCCTTATGGCGCTCTTGGTGTCCTTTGTTATTCGTTGTGGGGGTTTAATACGTAGTCTGTTTCTGTGTTGTAATTTAGTTTTTTTGCCGGTCACCCTTAAGGTGTACCTCTGTTTTTTTTCTGGATGCCCTTAAGGCACCATTTGTCATAACCTTTTGAAGTGATGATTTTTTGGGGTTGGCCCTTAAGGCACCCATGGTTTATTGTTTATAATTTGCTGCGGGGTAGTGTGGTCGCCTGTAGGTAGGAAAGTTGTGAGGGCGGAGTTCCATTAGCTGCACTAATTATATTCAACTTCATAGCCTCAATTCTGGGCGTCTGGTGTCTACTTCTCCCGGGGACTTGACCATTTCGACCCCCCGTGGCCGCACCTCGGGAGCAGTGCGCCGATGCGACGGTCGCGTTGGGCGCACCTCACACCTGGACCCATCCGTTGCTGACTTGACCATTCGACCCCCGTGAGCCGACTTCTTGCGCCACCTTCGGAGCTGTCGCGGATGCGGCGGGTCGCCGTTTGAGCGCAACCTCACGCCTGGCCCATCTTGAATGCAGGACAGCCCAATCTCCTTTCGATAGTGCAATTGAACCTTTCCTTAGTTTTCATTTCCCATGTCTGGATTTAAGAAATAGACATAGATGTAGTCCAGTGAGCGCGTGTGGAAAGAGTTTTGACTCCTTTCGGGAGCAAGCGTGAGCATTATATGTCTGATTCCTACGAACATCTCCGCATCTACCGTGGTCATGGTGCCGCCGAAGAGAAAAGCTAAAATATCCTTGCTAGGATACACTGCTGGACATAATTATACTTCCACCTACGGTTCTCTGGAAATCTTTGATCGAAACAAGTTTTTTAAAAAAGTCTCCATAGTGAAAATATGTTAGATACAAGTGCGAGTTTGCTCACTGGGACCTCTCGAAAGCATTAAAATTTCTTATCCTAATTTTTGAAAAACCGTCACCTACACAGCTTCCCATAATGGTAGTTCCATCCATGAATCTCTCAAAATCCCGCCCTACATGACGTTTTCGAAAAAGCCTTCTAGATAGAAAATGTGGTAATTACCAGTGCCAATTTGCATGCCAACACCGAAAACTAACTTTCCAGAGCAACTTTTTTTTCTTTATTTTTTGAAAATTTCTCACTTTGACAATGTCCCAAAATATAGTTCCACTAAACAAATCGATTCATAAAACGAAAAGTGTGCAAAAAATGGATAAGTTGTTGCTCGAATAGACGTTGCCAATAAGTCTTCTGTCGACATGGTGCCATGCATCAACGACTGCCTCCTTAAAAGCTTACGGACATTTTTAAATCGCGTATTGTGCGCGTAGATCTTATGCACCATGAAGCGCATTCTCGATTGGGTTCAAGTCGGGCCTATTCGCTGGCCAGGACAAAGAGCGATTTGGTGACGACGGACCACGCTCGAGTGCTTTGGCTGACATGAACTGGTGCATTGTCTTGCATGAAAACAGGACTTTCATGCCGAATCCTTCGCCAGAAAGGAAGCAGACCTCGTCGCATGACGTTTACATAGTCGGAAGAATTCATTTTCTTCGATACGAAGCACAGCTTCAGACGTCCCGTTGATGCGATCGCAGCCCAGACCATGACACCACCCCCTCTGAAGTTCCGCCTCGAAAAATTGAGCTTATCTTTCCTCAGATCGTGCCAGTAAAATCGATTTCCATCTGGGCCGTCGCAGTTGAATTTCTTCTCATCGGAAAACACGACCTATAGAAAAAATGAAAAGACAGGAGAGAAAAGCAACAGGGCACTGTAGCCAAAAGCTATTAGGTTGGCAACTAAGTAACTGCGGATTTTTTTAGAATATCAATGACAATTTTTTCATGGAACGAAATAATTTTATTCTGTAATGTATTGCCCATTTTTATCAATGACCTTTTGCCATCTTTCAGGCAGCATCATAATCCCACGTTCATAAAACTTCTGGTTTTTATTAGCAAAAAACTGAATCAGGTGCGATTTGACATCATCATCATTATTGAAATTTTTACCATTCAAGGAGTTTTGTAAAGAGCGAAACAAAAAGTAATCTGATGGTGCAAGGTCAGGACTATATGGTGGATGTGGCAAAACATCCCAACCAAGCTCCAATAATTTTGCCGAGTGGCCAAAGATGTGTGTGGCCTTGCATTATCATGATGGAATACCACACCTTTTCGATTTGTCAATTCGGGCCGCTTTTCTTCAACAGCATTGTTTAATTTCGTTAGTTGTTCAATGTAGACATCAGAATTGATCGTTCGGTTGGGTGGTAAGAGTTCAAAGTAGACAATTCCTTTGTAATCCCACCAAACTGATAACAAAACCTTCTTTTGATGAATATCAGCTTTTGATGTTGTTTGAGCTGGTTCACCTGGCTTGCTCCACGATCTTTTCCGCTTGATATTGTTGTAAACAACCCATTTTTCATCGCCAGTTATCAGTCGTTTTAAAAATGGATCATTTTCGTTACGTTTCTTAAGCAAATCGCAGTTGTTAATGCGTTGCGTTAAATGCGTTTCTTTCAGTTCATGAGGAACCCATGTATCAAGTTTTTGAACATAGCCAAGCTGTTTTAAGTGATTTTCAATGCATGTATGTGATACATGGAGCTTCTCTGCGATCTCACGTGTTGTACTGTGACGATCCGAATCGATTATTGCTTTGATAAGGTCGTCATCAACTTCAACTGGACGACCAGAGCGTTCTTCATCTTTGAGTGAAAAATACCAGAACGAAATTTGGCAAACCAATTTTGCCGTTCTTTTAAGGCTTCGTCACCATAAACAGCACATAACTTTTTGTGAGCTTGCGATGCGTTTTTCCCTTTGCGGAAATAAAAAAGTAAAATATGACGAAAATGTTCCTTTTGATGTTCCATTTTTCAACGAACGCCAAACAAAAACTATGCAACCAATCAAAAAACTTTTTATACCGATTGATAGCTGAATTGCCAACTGTCTAATAACAAAATAAGTTTTACATTATGATGCAATGTCCCACGCTGCAAAAAGGTGCGTCCCAGCATTAGGGCGCAATGTCGCCAATGTGTGAATGAGACAGATATCAGTACATGGATTGCCGGAAGAACATTGAGATTGCTGCGGCTGAATGGTAAGGTTCCGCAGACTATAAATCAATGCTGTCTTCTCCCACTAATTCCGCAGAACCTTTGTTCACGAAGGCGGCCCTCACCATTTATTACCAAGATCCTTTGGAAAATCCTTTTGAACTTAGAAACTGAGAAGCTTCATTACTGCGATAAAACTAACAACATGGCCTACCATATATAATCGGCAATATCTATATACCTGTGTATGTGTATCTGTCTGTCTGTCTGTCTGTCTGTCTGTCTGTCTGTCTGTCTGTCTGTCTGTCTGTCTGTCTGTCACGAAATTCATAGCGTCGTCCCAGTAGCTAGGAGACATTGGTTCCAAGTAGAGATGTGGGGGGGGGGGGTGACGATGACATTACTGGGACAGGAAGTGATATTCGCTGATAAGATTCGATAAGAGACGTTAGAAGGGGATGGCCTCCATATTTATAACGCGGGTGACAGCATCTAGGTGCTGGTTCCAATATATGATATAGGGTATGGGACAGGAAGTGGGTGACAGGATTTGTGAGCTGCTAATATGATTGGATAAGGAGAGTTAGAGAGGTAGGGCCACCAGTACTTACAACGAGCGTCAAAGCATCAACGAGTCTTTGGTTCCAACAAATGATATAGGGGTGAGATGAGGACATCAGTAGTGGGTGATAAAAAGCAACAGTAACAACAGACAGGGACTGATAAAGGACGCTGCAGTTCTCCTCGCTGTTCGAAGTGGTGGAACTATTACACTACCACATTGTAGTGACAAGGACCTGATGGCGGGTGACAGGTAATCGTATCAGTTAACAAGAACAGATGAGAAGTCATCCTCACTACATTTCTTATTACTTCTTGCCACTATAATGTCGATAATTAGAGGCTCGTGTGTGAACTCCTTCTTTTAGCCATCACATTCCTGAGAGCAATAGAAAATGTACTCATCCCACTATCCTAGGTGCAAAATAACACTTTTCTACCTCGACTTCCAAGGCGATATAAGTTACACTTTATTGAATTCTGATTGGACATTTCCACCACCATATTCAACAGCATATTGTATACTATCATGATGCTCCGCCACAGCCTTCTGGACGAGCGCCATCGAGAGATTCTGCCACGCGACCGTGATTCGGTACCTGAGTTCAGCAAGGTCGTTGTGCTGTGTTGAGCTCTTTTCGAACCCGGTAATTGAGGGGATCTAGGGAAGGTGGCACACTTGGATATTCCGTCTTCTGGTACTCAGCGCTCCTCGATTCCATGTGCTGGCACCCAATCCTGTAGCAGTACGAAGTTTCCAAGATGGTACAGGCGACGACATGAAAGCAGGATATTCTCCTCGAGTTGGTCGATGTAACCGTCAGCGTTCACTTTCAGTCCGGGTCCACGAAGAAAATATCGGTCTTCATTCCCCATTCCAGGAACTTCCGGTCCATACCATCAACCCGCGCCTTGGCGACTGCGGTGAAGATGATATCCTGGACCGTAGCGACGTTGTCGGAGCTGCTCGATGTTGGAGGTCTTCCAGATCGAGAGTGCTGGTCCCAGGTAGCTGTCCATGGGTGACTCCATACAAGAAGTTTCGCAGCTGTTTGGAGGTGACGTGAATTCCAAAGGCCTTCTCCAGTCAGGCTGCGGGAGATGACTTCATATTTTGGTGTACATGAAGGTGATGGGCGAGAGCCTGCTATCGAGGAACATCTTGGGTATCTTCCGCCCTGGTACTCGTATCCACGTCCTCTGTCTGGGCTGCGAAAACTTTGATATGTGACTCGGTCGAAGTGTCTTTTTTGCCCCCCCCTGTATAATCGGCTATGTCTGTGCGTGCGTGCGTGCGTGCGTGCATGCGTGCATGCGTGCGTGGGTGCGCGTGTAACAAATGCATAGCGCCGGTCCCAGTAGCAATGAAACATTGGTTCCAAGTAGTGAAGTAGCGGACGTGATGGGGACACTGTTGGTTGACAGGAAGTGATATCAGCAAGCTTTTTTAGCCATCAGGATGGCAGCAGAACCGATATCAACCGGTGAACCATCAAACTAAGCTATCTGCATGCACTGATGTTGATCGGGGTCAGGGAGGGAGGGTATGAAGTGCGCTTGAAATGGGAACAGTCAGGAAATCAAAAATCCTACTCTATATAATCCGCTAAGTTTGTCTGTTGGTGTGTGAGCTGTGCTGTGTTTGAACGGAAATTCATAACTTCCTTCCGGAAATTCATAACTTCCTTCAAACTGGCCATACAGAGTTCATCGGTAAATGATATAGGGGGTCGGACGTGAACATAATTGGTGAGTGGTAGGAGGTGATAACAGCTAAAAAGGGCTGACAAGGGGCCGTAAAAGGGGAGGAACACCAAATCCATAACTCGCGTCACTGCAACGCTGGGACGGTGGTTCCAAGAAATGATGTGAGGGGCAGGTTGGGAACAATATTGGTGGGTGGCAGGAAGTGATAATCGCTGAGTAAGATACCGCAGGGGACCACTCAAAAAAGGAGCTTCTGAAACCTTTAACTCAAGTTGTAGCAACATGGCAGACTGCTTCCAGCAGTGATTCAGAGGTAATAGAGAACATTGGTGGTGGGAAATAGGTTGTGATATAGTGCCCGATAAGTGCTTATAAGCATGGATCAAGATGTTTATGTCCTAGCGATACAGCTAAAAGGATTCGACTCTAAAGTCTAAAGATGCTTGCCAATGAGGAGTGATAAAATCCACCGATAGACGTGGGAACTGCTTTACCGTTTCGATGTAGTGCTAGGATGTAAAAATATTTCAATATCATCCCGATACTGTTACCATCAATGCTTTGAGCCGCAACTGGTCCGTATTTTAAACGATAGTGGTTGTTTTATTAAGTGCGATGAGCACGACGGGTCAGCACAGAGATCCGTCGTGCTCATGACCAGTAGGGGGGGGATATATATAATAGTACGCATGAAAAAATCACAATAATTTAACCAGTCACCTCCTACAACGCCGAAACGTAAATACCCCCCCCTCCCAACAATGACCAAGTACGACCCCCCCCCTTTACAACGTCCGTGAAGCGAGAAAAATCAACTATCAAAATAAATTTTTCCCAGCCCAAATACGACCCCCTCTCCTGGCGGCCAAATACGACCCCCCTATTGGGGATTCCCCAAAACGATGTGCCCTGATATGCGCAGTAGTGCGCACCAGCCAGACTGGCCAGAAATATGGTGGAAAGCAAATGATGCACCAACCCTACGTCTCCCTATTTGCCGTCCCCATACTTTTTTAGCGGTGGGCCTTCTGAATCATATCAATCGATGTCGATCTAAAATACCAGTCGGATGGCGTTTATCTTTCTGTGTGTTGTCACGGTTCAGTGGCGGTTTTGTCAGACGAGGCGAATTGTACAACCGTTTATCTTGGTTACTTACACGGGAGTGGGGTTTGGGGCTACGCCCACACCTCGAAGAGTAGGAGGCGGGCGTAGAGGGAGGGGGCCATCGCCATCGTGGCGATGACACTGCGCCGCCGCAAGGAAAAACAACATCGAGGAGGGAAAATTTAGTAATAGTACTGTTTTACATAACAAGAGATCGTCGTGGATGTAGTTCTCTTCATTATGAGAACTTGTAGTTTTTTGTGTTGTTGAAGAAGTTAAATGGAGGTTGAGAGACGGCGGGCGGGCAGAGAAACGGCCGCGAGAAGTCGAGCGAAGGTGAAGGAAGGGCAGGGAGAAGTCGAGGGTGGCAGCAGCAACGAAGCAAATATTCATGACTACGACAGTGTTTCAGAAGGACAACTACTTACTTCAGTTATTTCAGTATTAATAATATGTCCTTCTGGACACTATATGGCCGTGACTCGAAAAACCTCTCAAGATAATTCTAAATGGTAGAGGCTCTTTAATTAGGTTCGCCCAAGGATATATGATGTTGAGGCGATACTGCAGAGTTCTGGCGTCAAAGGTCATGCAGTAATAACTATGCACATTGTGCAGTTAGCATTCTATTATTGTTTTCTTACATACGATATGTTCTGACTCGTTCTTTTCTGGAGTTTCAATAATAAGGCACTACATCTACATGTTTTTAATTGACATAACGCACTGGCGTTTTCAGTGAGTGCTTGTTTTCCCTCACTGACATGGTAAGAAACTGCCTGCCACAAAAATCTGAGAGCAGTTAAATGATGTAGTTGGCTAGGGAAATTTATGAAGGATTAGCACTGGGCCACCCAAGTAAGTTAAGGCTGCTAAACCAAGTATTGAACTGAGAGCAGCTAACGCAACTTCCAGTGGTTTGTAATGGTATTTAATAAAGGTTCGATATTAGGTAAACTAATATCATTGAACCACTGGTGTTTTAGAGGTACTCCATGAGCTTTGATGTCAAAGACTGAGGTGTCTTGTGGATCAAGGAGGTGGTAGTGTAGGGTACCATTCAACAGAAATTTCGTAGGCCTATCAGAGCAATGAGCGTTGCATTGCTCATGTACTGTGGGATGATTAAAGTGGAAGAATAACCTCATTCTCCTCATCTGAAAGTCCGCACTTAACCAAAAATTGTTGAGATTGGCAAGTAGCTCTTTCCGTAGCCTCAACTAATGACTTACAAATGGCTGTGAAGTGCGCTCCTAGTGTGCAGTCACAACAGCCTGTTAGCTTGGAGATCTTAAAGCCACACTCTTGGTTGATGAACAGTTCAGCTACTACATACATCTTTAGTATCTTTGACTCAATTCGTAGTACCACTTCCTCCGCTGGACGAAGCAGCGATATTCCCTTCACGGACCATGATACCTGCGTGAGGAGGTTTT